ACCAACTCGGGTAGCTCGTGGCTTGGCTCGAAACAAACCCAAGCCGACTGACTCAAGGTTCAAGTTCACAGAGCCTAGGCTCGGGCCAGGCCTCAGTCGGACCATGTGGCTCGTAGGCCAGCTTGAAAAAAAAAAAATGCAACAGCCTGCTGCCTTTGTACTGTCTTCATGAACAAAACAAAAAAAAAAAAAAACATAAAGCTCCGATTGATCCTCGATTTTTTGGTTGAGCTTTTGCTCGGCTCAACTTGGGCTAAAAATCCTCGGGCTCAAGTTTCATCTCGTCTCGTCTCAACCCTCCTGTTGAGTATACTTTTGATATTTAAGGGATGTGAATTTTACTGTTAAAAAATGGGATGGGATGTTATCAAAAAAGAAATACAATCTTGTCAATTGTGCTGGTCAATCTTAAAATTTGCATATTCATTTGACTTTTTAATCAATCAAATGTCTAGTCTAAGTTTCATTAATATAATATAATATTAAATTTGAGCTTTCATTTTAAAATGTCAATTTTGTTATGAAAAATAGTCGAAGCTTCTAGTTTATATTTTGGTGTTTAATGAAAATGAAATATATCCCTAACAATTCTTATAGGATATACCACAATGTTAGCAGGCTTCCAGACAAATAATTTATTGTGTCCATTTCTCTTCTTAATTATTTGTCATGTAAAAACGTTTATCCATGTAAAATTTAAAAATACAAATACCGATTATGTTCATAATCGACTAAAATAATATTGTCTTGTTTTCTTGATTGGGCCATTTTACAGATGAAGTGCATTCAGACAAGGCCTGCATTTCCATCTAAATAAAGTTGTGTATTTAAGTTATTCATGTGACTGAAATTCTTTGTGAAGGCAAGTCAAGGTTAGGTTAGTACGTACCCATTGGGACCATGTTTAAGTACTTGTGTTCCTCTAATAACGTGGTAGGGTCTCATCATCAAAATTATGGTTCGTAGAAACAGATTTGTATTCGTAACGCGTCGCTCTTAGCAATAATTAATCTAAATTGGGAACTAGAATTATTATGATTTTTAATTTTTTGATTATTGTTTTTGGTAGTTGTATATTTTTATAAAAATCTACTAATATTCTTAAACAAATGCGAAATCAAGGTGGAAGAATTGAGGTTGCTATTTTCATAAGCAATTAGTCGGTATAATCGAATCAAACAATCAAAGAAATTAAAATTTGATATTTAAGGGATGTGAATTTTACTGTTAAAAAATGGGATGGGATGTTATCAAAAAAGAAATACAATCTTGTCAATTGTGCTGGTCAATCTTAAAATTTGCATATTCATTTGACTTTTTAATCAATCAAATGTCTAGTCTAAGTTTCATTAATATAATATAATATTAAATTTGAGCTTTCATTTTAAAATGTCAATTTTGTTATGAAAAATAGTCGAAGCTTCTAGTTTATATTTTGGTGTTTAATGAAAATGAAATATATCCCTAACAATTCTTATAGGATATACCACAATGTTAGCAGGCTTCCAGACAAATAATTTATTGTGTCCATTTCTCTTCTTAATTATTTGTCATGTAAAAACGTTTATCCATGTAAAATTTAAAAATACAAATACCGATTATGTTCATAATCGACTAAAATAATATTGTCTTGTTTTCTTGATTGGGCCATTTTACAGATGAAGTGCATTCAGACAAGGCCTGCATTTCCATCTAAATAAAGTTGTGTATTTAAGTTATTCATGTGACTGAAATTCTTTGTGAAGGCAAGTCAAGGTTAGGTTAGTACGTACCCATTGGGACCATGTTTAAGTACTTGTGTTCCTCTAATAACGTGGTAGGGTCTCATCATCAAAATTATGGTTCGTAGAAACAGATTTGTATTCGTAACGCGTCGCTCTTAGCAATAATTAATCTAAATTGGGAACTAGAATTATTATGATTTTTAATTTTTTGATTATTGTTTTTGGTAGTTGTATATTTTTATAAAAATCTACTAATATTCTTAAACAAATGCGAAATCAAGGTGGAAGACTTGAGGTTGCTATTTTCATAAGCAATTAGTCGGTATAATCGAATCAAACAATCAAAGAAATTAAAATTTGGGTGAATATTCAATTTCATATATTTATTAAATTTTGGTAGTGTGATATAATATAATTTTAAACTAATCTAATAATATACATGAACATTTTTTTTTTTAATGATTAATCCATAATGAAATTCGACATTTAAGACAAGCACATCTAATAGAAAATATTTTACCAAAATACGGAGGTTCACGTGATTTAGCAAGCTTTACAATGTAACATCATTTATAAGTATCTTTTCCAAAAATAAATATTTATTTAAAAGCTCATATTCATTCATGCTTAAAATAAAATAAAATAAAATAAAATAAAAATTTCATATCCATTATAAAAATTAAAATAAATATTGACAAACTAAAAATTCATGAGGGAATATTGTGCTAGATTTCGAATAGCTAATATTTTGTGTATAATCCTATTGAATTTATACGAAGAGCAATAACAAAATTGTTCTATTTAGTATTTATTAATCATTAAATGCACTTACTCATGACAGCCCAATTCTTATCTTCATAAACATTTCAATTGAAAGCGAGTTGGAATAATTAGCATTGGATCCCTGTTGTGATAGCAAAACTGAGAATGCATAACGTAAAAACTTGTGTAAACTATTAATGGAGTAGAGTGTCTCTAGCTAGCCCCACCCAAAGTGACATCCCTCGTAGTACAGGTTATTCCATCTTTTTACTATTTTAGAGATTTTATTGAGAAATGGAGAATTAATTTGAGATTTAATTGTGCATTAATTAATGAAATGAATAAAATTAATATCTCAAAATAAATCTAAATTTACCACGATAGATATTTTTATGGAATTTTCAATTTAGCAAAGGATATCATTTATGAAATTAAACCAAACAGATAATTAGGCTGTGTATATACTTGCTTATATTTCATTCAGTGAAATATTGGTCATGTAAAATTTTGATCTTTAATGGAAAATTGAAATGTTGATTACATTAATTTGTAAATAAGCTTTAACGAAAAGTAACACTATTTTTCGCACCTCCTTATTTATCAATTTTCCATTTAAAATTAAGGTAGTTATCAAATTTTCCCTTAAACAAATGGTCAAGCACTCAAGCTAGCCCTTCACCTAAAAGGGTGGATATGAAAAATTCGTGGCCAAGTTTAACAATGAGGATTATCATTTATTGAATTGCAATTGAGAACTCCAATGTGTTTTCTTGTACTAACATTATCCCTATACTAGAATCCACATGAAAATGTATGTAATAAGGTTTTATTCGTAAGAATGACATACTATAAAATAACTTATCAAATGAAGATGAAACATTCATTTTGGTGGGAATTTTGCTAGGGTTTGTCGACCTTGAAAGATAGGAAAAAATAATTTTGAGATTAAACATCAAACCTCAAAGTGTGCTTCTATCAAAGACATTATTTTATTTTTTTTTTATTATTATTATTATTATTATTATTATTATTATTATTATTATTATTATTTGTAAATTAAGACATTGTCATAATCTAATTTGAATTGTCCGTCTTATATAATTTGCATTTCATCATAGAATGATTACTTGAAATTTCCTTTGTTTTGGCAGTATACTTTGCGTCCCCTTGTCGAACAACATTCTATACTTTTATTCATGAACACTATAATAAAAATAATGCTATGCAGTTCCACAAGGGTTTATAACTGCAATTTAGGTGGCACTAGATAATAAGCTAAATAAAATGTGAAATTAAATAACTCATTTAATTCCATTTATCATTTAACGTCATGTTAACGTCACCTAGACTTGTAACCCAGTGGAACTAAATGGCATTACTTTTATCATAATCAAGAGGCGTCTTTATAAAGAAAAAGAAAATAAAAATTAGAGTTTCATATAATTTTTGTTAAGAATAAATGCATATGTCGTACAGAAATGAATTTTTCTTCGTGCTGGTGCATCTTAACTGGAAGATGTGGAGTCAAGAAAGACAACCATGAGGTAGTCCAAATATTAATTCTCCCTTTCCAAGTCAATATTTGGCCAAACTAGAAGTTATATTTCTTGAATTCTTCATAAATATATTTCTCTAAAACACTTAGGAACAATTGTAGTGATAAAAATCAAGCTAGCTTACACGTGACAACTGCATCATATCAAAAGATTTAGAAAGTCAAACCATGATCTATGTATTTATGTGGTATCTCTATATATATATATATAAGCTCATATTAATTATGCATAAGAAGAATTCAACGTCACTTCTTTGTTTTTCAGTTCTGAAATAGTAACACAACTTGCTGCTGGAGATATGTATGAATTTAATTTTTTAAGGAAAAATTTAACCATCGAGCGAATTTTCCGTTTGGTTGTACAGAAGCCTCAAGATTGGAATTAATGTACGTGATGCTGCACTTGGTCTATTTCCTCGGGCATGGTTTACAGTTGGAATTAGTAAAAACTGATTTATTATTATTATTATTATTATTATTATTATTATTATTATTATTATTATTATTATTTTTTTTATTTCAATTCATGTCGCCAAACAAAATGTAGTTATGTTAAGTGAATTCCAAAGCATCAAAAGTCAAACCCTAATTATCATTTCTCATAATAAACAACAAATGGTGCACAAAGTACGAACAGTTTTGTTCTAAGAAGATGACAAGTAGGAAGATTTATTCCTAATAAATTAACCATACATTTATGCTAACACTAGTATATTATGTTTGGTATGGAGAATTAGATAGCACTGGATGATATTAATAAAAAAAGTTAAAAATATTTTGTTATACTGTCCAGTTCTGTTTAGTACTACGTACCAAACACGATAGAAGATCCATCCTTTTGTGATCAAGCACGATGGAGCAGAAACTGATTAGAACGGTTATGCCTAAAATCACCGAAAAACACAAAAAGATTAACCTAAAACAGCTGATTTGTTTTGAAGAAAAATACGTTTTCTTTTTCAAAACAAATCAGCAGTTTCTTCCGAAGACATGTCCATTAGGTATCCTTCTGGTCCTTGTGCAGAAGCATCATCAAAGAGCCAGTTTTCCAGCACAGCAAGGGGCATTTGGATGTCTAAATTTGTCTTGCTCTGCCCCTGTAAAATCCCAGTTTCTGGTGTGAAATTTGCAGCAATAAATTTGCGTTCACCCTCAGATTGAGAAACATCGGAATTGGAAGAGTTAAAGCCAATAAACGAGTCAAATCCCTCCAGTGTTGTGGCACTAATGGTCCCTTCACTAGGACTGGAACTTGGCCCAATTGAAGGGTTGTTAAAGGAATTCTAGATTCAACGTGAAAAATTCATTGTCCTCAAACAATATTTGCTTCTTCTCACAATTCTTTTAAAGGATTAAAATGACAAGTAGTTTGTAGGATTTATAAAAACTAAATGAAGAACGTCAAAAGCAAAGTAATTCTCCAAATGAACAAGTGAAAATAGAAATTTTGATTATATAAAGAAACTAAATTTCTTCAAGTAGTGAATGAATAATAGAATAATTTTTCATGTTTGTAGGGATGAATACTATCATGTATTTATAACTTTTATTCATCCCTACACAAAGTGATTCCAAGTCAACAGGAAAAGGTGCATTGATACACCAAGAAAACGACCAAAAAATTTGAAAAAATCCAGACAATGTTCATATTTTAACACTACGCGACTGTTGGCTACCCTTTTAGTCACTAAAGACACGCATGCGATCACAAGTCTCAAAGGCCTATGTGGTCGGATAAGCCATATTATGGCATGATTTTTTTCATTGTTCTTCTAATTTTCAATTCATCCACACTTCATTTTGAGCAACAAGATCACAACAATCCCCCGCTTATTCAAAATCAATGCTAATCGCATAATCAAATATCAACACTCATACGTAAGGATTAGATTTCTTTCAATTTGAATCTAACCATAGTGAAAATCTCACAAAGCATTATCGAAATTTCAGGTAGCTAAAAAGCTTTGAATCAATTATTCCTTGTAACAATACTGAAGAAATCACACACACAAGTGTCAAATTTTCACAAGTTCCTCTAACTCCCTTAGTTCTAATATGGTCTTGCACTTATCTTCTTTTCATTGAATTTTTAAAGAGAAAAAACTCTAACTCTATAATGAGGTGATACCACTTCGAAGTTTTACATAGATGAAGTTATTCCAGTAATCTTTATTACTTTTTAGAAATACTTGTATCCCATACTTAGGGATGACAAAATGGCTCGCGGGTTTAGGCCTCCATGGCCCAGCTCGTAAAAAGCTCGAGCCGACCCCGCTCGAGGCTAGGGTTTAGCTCGGTAAGATTTGAGCCGAAAGCTTGAGTTGAGCCTCGATTTTTTGGTTGAACTTTTGCTTGGCTCAAGCAAAAAAAAGCTCGAGCCGAGTCCAATCCTCGATTTTCGGCTAATGAGCCAGCTCGAATCAGCTCGTTAACACTTCTATCGGTACTGAACTTCATTAAAAGTTTTATAACTCATCCATCCAATTGTAACGACCAACACTATTTACCAATGATAGGGTTTCATAATTTTAATAGTGTTAAAATCTATCCACTTATCAAATGATTTGTTATTATCCTCTGAACATAAATATACTTGTTTAGCATATCCTTGAAGATGTATAATCATCTTCTCCTCATGTTCGGTGAAGTTACCACGCTTGATCCCTGGCCGGAGATAATTAGTCCATCTCAGCCTGCAACTCTTACTGCATCTAAGCAAACCTGAGAGAGAAATACAGTAGAAAAAGTAGTGAGTTAAACTCACTAAATCATATAAACAAAAAATAAAATATAATAATAATAATAAATGGAAGAAAGAAAGTTGCTTAATCTTTATGTGCATTCAAGACTGACGGTGGTGTAGCTGCGGATTATTAATTACACAGCTTTAAAAGATTCTAAACACACACACACACACGCACACAATGAAGAAGAAAAACAAGGGAAGAAAAAACCAAAACACGTAATTTTTACCAGTATTGGTAGGAACAGCTCTCCAATTTCCAGGACCGTGTTCTTGAATGTATGAAACCAAGATGATGTCTTCTTCAGGAGTCCATGGCCCTTTCTTAACACCAATTTTATCACAGCAAGGTGGTCTTCCCATATTACTCGGAATTTACCAAACTAGGGTTTGTCTCTCTCTAGAAGTTGCTTTATATTTTCCTTTTCTTGAGAGTGAAAACGGAGAGACAAGAGTCTAAACTGAAGGAATAGCCTTTTTCTACTGGAATATATATAGAAGAGGCCCAAGGGCTGACTAATTCGTCATAGGGAAGAGAAAGAAAGAGGGTATTATCTTCTTCTCCTAAAGAGTCAAAGAGGACAGCAACGAGCATTTACTCCATTGGCAAAAAGTCAGCCGTTTGCTTTGTGATACCCCCTCCCCGCACCCCACCCTAACCTCTCTCTCGATCTCTTTCGCCTCAGAAAACCGCGTGGCATTCAATGTCAAAAAATATTTACTTCTTCAAATTTTTTCCCACCCTAGAGATGTTGGAAAATTTACAGCAATGGAGAAAAGGAAGAAAAAGATAATATATATATATATATATATATATCCGAAGAAGATTCAACGTGAAAAATTCATTGTCCTCAAACAATATTTGCTTCTTCTCACAATTCTTTTAAAGGATTAAAATGACAAGTAGTTTGTAGGATTTATAAAAACTAAATGAAGAACGTCAAAAGCAAAGTAATTCTCCAAATGAACAAGTGAAAATAGAAATTTTGATTATATAAAGAAACTAAATTTCTTCAAGTAGTGAATGAATAATAGAATAATTTTTCATGTTTGTAGGGATGAATACTATCATGTATTTATAACTTTTATTCATCCCTACACAAAGTGATTCCAAGTCAACAGGAAAAGGTGCATTGATACACCAAGAAAACGACCAAAAAATTTGAAAAAATCCAGACAATGTTCATATTTTAACACTACGCGACTGTTGGCTACCCTTTTAGTCACTAAAGACACGCATGCGATATCAAGTCTCAAAGGCCTATGTGGTCGGATAAGCCATATTATGGCATGATTTTTTTCATTGTTCTTCTAATTTTCAATTCATCCACACTTCATTTTGAGCAACAAGATCACAACAATCTCCCGCTTATTCAAAATCAATGCTAATCGCATAATCAAATATCAACACTCATACGTAAGGATTAGATTTCTTTCAATTTGAATCTAACCATAGTGAAAATCTCACAAAGCATTATCGAAATTTCAGGTAGCTAAAAAGCTTTGAATCAATTATTCCTTGTAACAATACTGAAGAAATCACACACACAAGTGTCAAATTTTCACAAGTTCCTCTAACTCCCTTAGTTCTAATATGGTCTTGCACTTATCTTCTTTTCATTGAATTTTTAAAGAGAAAAAACTCTAACTCTATAATGAGGTGATACCACTTCGAAGTTTTACATAGATGAAGTTATTCCAGTAATCTTTATTACTTTTTAGAAATACTTGTATCCCATACTTAGGGATGACAAAATGGCTCGCGGGTTTAGGCCTCCATGGCCCAGCTCGTAAAAAGCTCGAGCCGACCCCGCTCGAGGCTAGGGTTTAGCTCGGTAAGATTTGAGCCGAAAGCTTGAGTTGAGCCTCGATTTTTTGGTTGAACTTTTGCTTGGCTCAAGCAAAAAAAAGCTCGAGCCGAGTCCAATCCTCGATTTTCGGCTAATGAGCCAGCTCGAATCAGCTCGTTAACACTTCTATCGGTACTGAACTTCATTAAAAGTTTTATAACTCATCCATCCAATTGTAACGACCAACACTATTTACCAATGATAGGGTTTCATAATTTTAATAGTGTTAAAATCTATCCACTTATCAAATGATTTGTTATTATCCTCTGAACATAAATATACTTGTTTAGCATATCTTTGGTACTCATTGATGGACTTAATTAAAAAGTTTCAACCCATCCTACTTGATGTCAATGTTACTAACTCTCTTGTAAGAGGTTTAGTCAACAGATCAATTAAATTTTCACCATATTTAACATATGTAAGAGAAATTATTCCATGCTTAAATTATGTTTCTCACATACTTATGTTTTAAACTCATATGTCTAAACTTTCCTTTATTTACTTCGCTATATGGCCGAGCTAGACAATAATTGTATTTTATATTCGGAGCTTTAAATAATGATATTTTGTAGTTCTTCTAATGAAATATAGCTTAATTCATATGGTATTGTGTTAAATAGGTAAAACCCGATGTTTGATGAAGAATTAGAGAAAAAATGTAAAAAGGTGAAAAATGACGAAATTCAAAAGTTGATGGCTAAATTGCAAACAATTTATAGATGAGACGGACGACAAAATGAAGATCAAAGATACCAAGGATTCAATTGGAATATTAAGGAACAAGATTATAAGAGAAAATGGCTCAATCGAATCAAATACAAAGTTTAGGGGCTAAAATCCAATACTTTGAAAGCTGAATTGGATTGCAAAGCGATGATTCAAGAATGCCAAGGGTCAAATAGAGTTGAAAAAAGTCAACGGATGAGAATTTGTTGAAAATGATCAAACTACACACATGAGAAAGTTCGACAAAAAATTGAACTATGCTTAAGCATGGGAGGCAAGCCTTATGTACACAAGATTCTAAAAATCCACTTCCAGAGGCCAAATCACATGTACTGTGTGTAAACATCAAATGAATCATGTGTACGCATGGTTCAATTCTAGGAAAAAAAATTGTTTCCTTATTTTGCTTTGGAAACTTTTGGTATGCAATTTTTTGGCACCCTATTTATACTATAAGACATCCAAAACGTAGGAGACCTCCTTTAGGCCTAAAAACCTCTATATTTTACATATTTTGGATGAAAAACGAGGCTAAGCATCAAAATCAAGGCGGATTATACAAGTTCATTAAAGAATAATCATCAATTTTTAAGATTCATGCCAAGAAATTGGATTTCTCCACTTCATTATTTCTTCTTTTTGGGTGATGATTTTCCAATATTTCTTGTATAATTCAATTATTAGAAAACTAGGCTATTTTTTTCTATTGTATTGGATGAATGATCCCTATTGCACATATTTGCGTACCCATTACATTATTTAATTGAGTGGCTACCAATTAAATAATTAGTTGCTTATCAAGTCTCAAAGGCCTATGTGGTCGGATAAGCCATATTATGGCATGATTTTTTTCATTGTTCTTCTAATTTTCAATTCATCCACACTTCATTTTGAGCAACAAGATCACAACAATCTCCCGCTTATTCAAAATCAATGCTAATCGCATAATCAAATATCAACACTCATACGTAAGGATTAGATTTCTTTCAATTTGAATCTAACCATAGTGAAAATCTCACAAAGCATTATCGAAATTTCAGGTAGCTAAAAAGCTTTGAATCAATTATTCCTTGTAACAATACTGAAGAAATCACACACACAAGTGTCAAATTTTCACAAGTTCCTCTAACTCCCTTAGTTCTAATATGGTCTTGCACTTATCTTCTTTTCATTGAATTTTTAAAGAGAAAAAACTCTAACTCTATAATGAGGTGATACCACTTCGAAGTTTTACATAGATGAAGTTATTCCAGTAATCTTTATTACTTTTTAGAAATACTTGTATCCCATACTTAGGGATGACAAAATGGCTCGCGGGTTTAGGCCTCCATGGCCCAGCTCGTAAAAAGCTCGAGCCGACCCCGCTCGAGGCTAGGGTTTAGCTCGGTAAGATTTGAGCCGAAAGCTTGAGTTGAGCCTCGATTTTTTGGTTGAACTTTTGCTTGGCTCAAGCAAAAAAAAGCTCGAGCCGAGTCCAATCCTCGATTTTCGGCTCATGAGCCAGCTCGAATCAGCTCGTTAACACTTCTATCGGTACTGAACTTCATTAAAAGTTTTATAACTCATCCATCCAATTGTAACGACCAACACTATTTACCAATGATAGGGTTTCGTAATTTTAATAGTGTTAAAATCTATCCACTTATCAAATGATTTGTTATTATCCTCTGAACATAAATATACTTGTTTAGCATATCTTTGGTACTCATTGATGGACTTAATTAAAAAGTTTCAACCCATCCTACTTGATGTCAATGTTACTAACTCTCTTGTAAGAGGTTTAGTCAACAGATCAATTAAATTTTCACCATATTTAACATATGTAAGAGAAATTATTCCATGCTTAAATTATGTTTCTCACATACTTATGTTTTAAACTCATATGTCTAAACTTTCCTTTATTTACTTCGCTATATGGCCGAGCTAGACGATAATTGTATTTTATATTCGGAGCTTTAAATAATGATATTTTGTAGTTCTTCTAATGAAATATAGCTTAATTCATATGGTATTGTGTTAAATAGGTAAAACCCGATGTTTGATGAAGAATTAGAGAAAAAATGTAAAAAGGTGAAAAATGACGAAATTCAAAAGTTGATGGCTAAATTGCAAACAATTTATAGATGAGACGGACGACAAAATGAAGATCAAAGATACCAAGGATTCAATTGGAATATTAAGGAACAAGATTATAAGAGAAAATGGCTCAATCGAATCAAATACAAAGTTTAGGGGCTAAAATCCAATACTTTGAAAGCTAAATTGGATTGCAAAGCGATGATTCAAGAATGCCAAGGGTCAAATAGAGTTGAAAAAAGTCAACGGATGAGAATTTGTTGAAAATGATCAAACTACACACATGAGAAAGTTCGACAAAAAATTGGACTATGCTTAAGCATGGGAGGCAAGCCTTATGTACACAAGATTCTAAAAATCCACTTCCAGAGGCCAAATCACATGTACTGTGTGTAAACATCAAATGAATCATGTGTACGCATGGTTCAATTCTAGGAAAAAAAATTGTTTCCTTATTTTGCTTTGGAAACTTTTGGTATGCAATTTTTTGGCACCCTATTTATACTATAAGACATCCAAAACGTAGGAGACCTCCTTTAGGCCTAAAAACCTCTATATTTTACATATTTTGGATGAAAAACGAGGCTAAGCATCAAAATCAAGGCGGATTATACAAGTTCATTAAAGAATAATCATCAATTTTTAAGATTCATGCCAAGAAATTGGATTTCTCCACTTCATTATTTCTTCTTTTTGGGTGATGATTTTCCAATATTTCTTGTATAATTCAATTATTAGAAAACTAGGCTATTTTTTTCTATTGTATTGGATGAATGATCCCTATTGCACATATTTGCGTACCCATTACATTATTTAATTGAGTGGCTACCAATTAAATAATTAGTTGCTTGTTATAGCGTTAGAAGACTCATAATAAG